AAAAAAAAAAAAGCTTTTTGCTGCTTGATGTGTCCCGGCCCCTAAGACCATAAGTCTTTAATAATCTCTCCTCACAAGAAAACTGACCACACACAAAAATTGTCCTGAAATATCTTATACCTCTGAGAAGTTGGAGAAAGTTCTGTTATTGCTGAAGTCCATCTGATGCAAAGTGCTAAGATTTCGTTCTCAGCAACTTTACACCTAGAGAACAGGATAATAGTGCCAAAGTCTATAGCACCTGCTGTTTTGTTCTGAGCCGCACCCCATAAGTAAGGGAAGATTGAAGTGCTTAACATGGCCCACTTTCACATTCTGTGCTGGTCATTAAAAACAACAACAACTTTGTACTATTAAAACATGCTGTACTTAAACATTCAAGAGAAAATAAATCCAGTAGATCTTTTCTAGGGGCTAGGATGGGGCCTATATCACATTCAGCTGCATCTTAAGGAGAGGTGTGGAAAATGCAACCCATGGGCTTCCTACAGCTTCCAAAGGCATTCTGAGGTCCTCAATGCCACCCAACACCTAACTATTTTTTAAAAAAATGCTTTAAATGGGGCCAGGAGCCAATTTGCCCCATTGTTGCCCTTCCAACCTTTAGGTTCTTTTCCCCAAGGGGAAATAGCTCTTCCTAGACATTTCCAAGTCACTAAAGACGTATTTTAGGCCTAAAATGGTTCACAGTGCTAAATCCTCCCCCATGTGGCAAAATCCTCCTCCATGCTCCCTAGAGAAGCATTCTGGGGAGAAACAAAACTAAATGTAGCCTCTTACCCTAAACAGTTGCCCATTACTGACCTAAAGGATCCACCAGCAGGAGAAAGATCAAAACATGAGAGATCTATTGTATCCAGCACTTGGAAAAGTTACTTTTTCAACAAACACCTCTCAGAATCCCCTAGCCAGAAGACTGTGGGAGTTGCAGTCCAAAAAGTAACTTTTCCTAGGTCTGATCTTTCCCCATATGGGCTACTATAGTCAGTTTTCTGCCTCTTCCCTCCCCATCCTAGCTAACTTTAACACTGGGATAATGTTAAAGATTAAATAATATGTCCAGGAACCTGGAACCTGTATTGCAAATCCATGCAAGACTTTATACTAAAGCTCAATCAAGTCATCTGGCTCAATTGATAAACATGATGCCCATCTGCCTGCCCAAGAATAGCTGAAGGAATTATTTCTCTAAACATTCTTCCAGTTCTTTTGATTTCTACCACATAACTGGCCTTTTTAAACTAGGATAGACTACAGGTAGAATCATAGAATCATAGAGTTGGAAGAGACCTCAAGGGCCATCCAGTCCAACCCCCTGCCGTGCAGTAATACACAATCAAAGCACCCCTGGCAGATGGCCATCCAGCCTCTGCTTAAAGACCTCCAAAGAAGGAGACTCTACCACTCTTCAAGGCAGTATATCCCACTGTCAAACAGATCTTGCTTTCATGAAGTTCTTCCTAATGTTGAGGTGGAATCTCTTTTTCCTGTAGTTTGAATCCATTGCTCTCGGTCCTATTCTCTGGAGCTGCAGAAAACAAACTTGTTCCATCTTCAGCATGGCACCATTTCAAATATTGAAACAGGACGATCATATCACCACTTAACTTTCTCTTTTCCAGGCTAAACATACCCAGCTCCCTAAGTCACTCTTCATAGGGCATGGTTTCCATACTTCTCACCATTTTGGTCACCTTCCTCTGGACATGCTCTAGTTTGACAACATCCTTTCTGAATTGTGGTGCCCAGAATTGGACACAGTATTCCAGGTGAAGTTTGACCCAAGCAGAATAGAGTTGTGTCAACACTGAAACCCCTAAGACTACTATCTATGGTCTAACCTGTACTGCAGAAATAATGCAGTTTGATACAGATTTAGCTGACATGGCTCAATGCTATGGAGTTGTGGGATTTGTAGTTTGTTTGGCAGTAGAGCTCTCTGAGGGAGAAGGCTAAATATCTCGCAAACGTACACATTCAATAATTCCATAGCATTGAGCCATGGCAGTTAAAGCAGCATCAAACTCCATTATTTCTGCAGTGCAGATTAGACCTAGGAAATAAGGAAACAGAGAGAGAATATCTGAAACACATTTGCCTGAAAATGGCACTTTTGTCCTTCAAACTCTCTCTCCTATTTTCAGATGGCAACACCAAAACATTTTGTACATCTTCATTTGAGCATTAGTATCATTATCACTATCATCTTTGCTGATGCTGGTGTTAAATTCTACTAAGGAAAAGCAGTGCAAAACCCAGCCATAAAACTGTTGATATTCAAGTCTAGAAATAGCATTGTCTCTCAGTTCCTGGATTCAGATCTTTATCATGATTTAGGACAGGGCTGCGCTGCACTGGCAGCTGGTTGCTATCAAGTTAGTGGGGTCAGTGAATTCTCCCTAGATATTTAACTAAAACTCTAAAGGAACTATCCAAGGTGTTGAACCTACCTTGGGATTATGGTTCAGCAGTTTGGGTATCTCCATTAAATTATGGACATTAACCCACAGCAGATTCATTCCCAACTACTAAGAAAGCCACCAGTAAGGCTATACAGAAGTCGGGGGGGGGGG